AATTATATATCCAAGTCATTTTCAAGAGTAATTCTGAATAAGAAAACAAAAAAGCACACCACTCTGAAGAGTAATTCTGAATAGCAAAGTAAAAAAAGGAAAACTTAAAAAACCACTTATTTTATTCATAAATTAAACAGGACACATAAGTAAAACTTAGACAACCATGCAGTGTCCAGGAGGAAAGTGGTTCTCTTGGACACTGTCATTATAACATAGATAACATACAAGGAAACAAGTGGGAAGTGGTCGTTTGTACAGGGAATTGTCTTGGACTCCTGTACAAACAATTAGTTCCCTTTTCCTCGCTTGTGGGGGTTTTTTCTATTATAATACATTTATAACGACACTTCTGTCTCTGACAAAATTCACTATCTTGGACAGATTCAACTGCATATATCACGAATTAATATGGCGTCTGAAAAAAAAACCCTGACAAGAATGGTATGCAGTAGTCCATGTAAGCCCATCACATGAGCACTTAATGTATTTCAAGAAAATACTTGTATTGGGCTTTTCTCACTTCAATAGCCTAGAGCAAAGCACAGTGCAGTGTGCAGTAATGCAATCTACTCTCAACTCTTCCATCTCTTCTGTGTGGCTGCTAAGCAGATTAAGGAAGCTCATAATGTCGAAGAGAAAGCACAATGCGTACAACCTGCAGCTCAAATTCCAGTTATTGAAAAAGGTAGAAGAGAAAAAAGTTTTAAAAAATAAAATTTGCCACAAGCATGGCATTTCCATCTGTATGCTGTGGACAATCATTGCTATTTGAGTAATCTCTCTCAATTGAAAACACAACTAAAGTGAAGGAAATCCAGTACAGATGTTGGTCAAAGCAGACTACTATATATACATATATGTAGGACTTCATAGCGTGTCCTTTTCCTATTTTGCACACCATTTTTCTATATTCCGCGCCCACTCTTTCAATCCATTGTTCAAGTTGCACACCAGAGCAATAGCTCGAGCCACGTCTTTTTAAAAATTCAAACAGCTGCTTTGGACAAAGGCACAAACATGTGTAATAATACTGAAGATTCTGTGGTGTCAAGGAAAGAAATGACATAAACGCAGTAATCAGTAAGGCAAGCAGGGACTGAGGGCCTTGCTGTTGTTACAAGAGAAAACTACAAAGCTGTTTACAGAGCAACTTTGCCCAGAGATTATCTTTTGAAAACATTCAACGGGCAGCATCAGCAGGTTCCAAGATAAGTCCAAAAGCTGGAGACACTGCTGATTTCAGACCAAACCCTGCTCTCTCTCTCTGCTGGAACTTGTCTTGACCATGGGGCCATGGAGAAGGGAAACAGTCATCGCGGTCTCATTCCATCCAACTCGCAGCTGTATGGTGTTCGTGTCAGTTCGGGATAGTTCAGATGGGATTGTCAGCACACTGCATTCATCACAAATTAGACAGGAGACACGGGGACTGATGTATGCCTTGTGACGAAACTTGTTAAGAGTTGCTGTTGAAGTTTTCATCATTTGCGGGATTTTGTTCTAATCCCTCTCACTCACTCGTCCCTTCATTTGCATCGTCAAAGGAAACTGAACGAAGAAGATGTCGAGATTTTTCTCCATGTTCCTCTGTCATGTCAGGCTTTCCTATTAATTGTTTGTAAAAATATGTTAATATTTTCTTACTTTTACATTCTTCATTTAGCAATATGTAGCAAATTTTATTTGTTATTGGCAGTTTCTTCAAAATTTCATCCTTCATTTGTTGCTTCAATTATATATTTTTCTGCTTCAATTCTCTACACTCAAGAACTCGTTTTGAATTATGCTTAAAAATTCCCCATTACCATTGCGAGTGCCAACAACTGTTACTGTAAGGTCATGACAAAGAACATTGGTTCAATTGCTTTTTGATCTTTGATTGACAAGATGACAAACTGGACTCGTGAGTTGTAGTGGTTAGGCATTTCGCCGTCCTGTCATGACAAAAAAACATCATCTCAGTTCCTCTTTGATCTTTTTATTCATAACCAGTGGAGTTAGCATCTGTGTTGTAATGGTTAAGCGTTTCACCGTCGCATGCATAAAACCTGGGTTGGATTCCCCTGTGGAGAACATTTTTTATTGAATATCTCGGTTTTCCTGCTCATACGTTGTATCCCTCTCACTTTCAGCCCAAGTTGTCTCTGACATACAGCATCAAAGCCCACTTCCTAATTGATCTCTAAAGTATGTTGATGGGGGTGTTAGACATCTGCATTAAAAATAAAAACCCAGTTAGCAAAACAACGCTCATTCATCTATTATTTTGCGGAGAAGGAAGGGAGAAAGAGTTAAAAGTAGGGGGTGGTGTGGGGGAATCTACCATTATCATTATGAACGGTGAGGCAACCAAACACCAAAATGCACCACAAGTGAAAGTGCACATAAATGCGTGCAAAATAGGAAAAGGACACGCTACGATGAACAACCCAGAAATGGACATTCTACGGCGTCTAGACACATCTCAGAGTCTTACATATATATTATGAAGAGTATATGCATGAATAACCACCACAACTTCAGCAAATGCATAATTTTTTTGGGGGGGGAAGCTGAACTGCAAATATTATTAGTCAACTTTTCTGATCAATGTAATAGGCCTACAGATAACCTTAAATGAGCATTATACAAGCCAAATGTTGACCAAAAAATTCATTTTCCACATTTAATGATAAAACTAAAAGACGCGTTTCCATAATCTGGTTCACAACTTGAACAGAAATTACTTCTGGACACTAAAAGCCATTTCAGGGACTTCATCCATGGGGTGCAGTTTGTTTTAAAAGTTTACTTGGCAGCTGAAGCTGAGTCCAGAATTTCAACTTTTCATGTCATCTATCTGTACCAACAGACATCTCCTCACTCAAACTGACAATATTTACATGTCATGACGATCAACCTTCTTCCATTCTTTAACTTTTTTTTACCATGTCCCATGGAATGCAAAAATTTGTGACAGTTAAAACAAAAACAAGTCTTATTTGAACATGTTTAAAGCTGTTCACTAAATATCACAGATCAGACTACTAAATCGATGGTCTCAAAGCACGGAACAAGTACCTATTGAAATAATAATGTTAACTTGTGCAATGAAAGCGTCAACTTCTATTTTTTCCGAATGATATTTCGAAATATTAACATATAAATACTTTATTAGATCTGTACCAAAAGAGACAAAAATAAAAAGTATTTAATTCCCCTTCAAAAGTTCTTCAGTAACAGTGAAATAATACATGTATGCCTATTCCATCATTGCAAACAACACAACAAAAATATTCCTCTCCTGGGTTGTTATTATCCACCAAACAATAACAACAACCCATTCCTATATATAGAACTGATTGTAAGGACGAAAGTACCTTCATACAGTAGTCTCCGCCTAAACGCACGGTGCTCGGGGAGGGTTCCTTAGCGTGTATTTATACGAAGCGTGCGTTTACATGAACCTTTGCAAGGGGAGGAAGGGACGCAGTCATCTCAACTCCTTATTAACTCTAGTGATCTCCCTTAGAGGGAGGGGGTCATTTTGGCAGATAATGCGACAACACTTGACTGTTTTGTGAAGGATTCCCCGACAGGGGTTAAGAATACAAAGGCGCTGAAGGGGGGGGGGGAGAGAAAGACAAACTCAATGTAATGAATATGCACTGTAAACGTCGGGAACAGATAGCCTAAGAGGTAACTGTTGGCGATAGTCATAGAGACAACGGACCAGCCATTTGGCTTTCCAAGCGACCACCCCCGACGGTAAATTAATTGCAGAATCTAAACATTACGCGCAGTCACTCCAAATTCCAGTCAGAAACCTTCTCTCAAAGAAACATTTCCAGTGACCAATCAAAAAACACTTCAGTCCCCCCCAATCCCCCCCCCTCCAAACCTTTAACCGACCAGCCCTAGATCGAGACCTATGCATCAGTGGAAAGTAGGGTGTGTAAACGCAGTCCATCAGTCTCTTCGTACAGCATGAGTGGCACTCTCACCAAATATCCGGTTTTCTAGTAAATTCTAGGCTTGTCTTATGCAGGCTGTAGTGAAAATTTCCCCTTGCCAAGCTTAACTTGTCGGCGTGTTTCGCGGAGCGGAGCGTGCGTTTGGAGGGAGTGACCGTGTGTTTGTATGTCTAAATTATATAGTAAAAAACCCGTCAGATGACGAAAGCGTGCGTTTGAGCGAAGCGTGCTTTTGTATAGCATGCGATTAGGCGGAGACTACTGTACATCCTTGAAAACACAAATGATACTTCTCTATGAGTATACACACTGATGTCCATTTATTCGTAGTAACTATTAATCTGTCAGATCAATGGTCTCGTAAATGTTTGCAAATGACTAGTAAACGATGTTTTTACTTGGGGATGGGGGATGTGCTTTGTTACACATTTTGTTTGCATTACTTTGTAGGTTGAAATTTTTAAGATTTTAATCCACAAATTTGTCAACCATGGGGCAGAGCAAGGCCAGCGAGAGCCACCCTTCCGCACAAGGCCAAATAGGGGCCTACCCACACCAGGGTATAACAAAATCTGTCTGTAAAGCTGATGACTTCAAAACACACTCCCCAGCTCTTCAGCACATACCTCTTCAAATCACCTCACCCTTCCCCAAGTGAAAAAATGCATGAATCAGCTGTGTTCAATTATTATATGCTACACTCAATGTGTATGGTCTATGCACATCAGTCTGAATGTGGGTTTTTAAAAAAGCACAACACACGATTAAAATAACAAGGTATAATGACAAATCAAGTGTCTAAAGTTTTTACCTAAAATCATTTATTACTTGAAAGAAGAGCATAGACTAATATTTTTTTTAAATCAAAGATTCAGCTCTTGCAGGTCAAGATGTACAGATTACACTTAACAGCAATCACAAAACTAAAATAATCACAATAAAAAAACCGCAATAAACATAGCCACAAAAGGATTGCAACATGCGTCACTTCTAAAAAAACAAAGAATCATAGTATGGCAAGGGAAGATAAATATTATTCACATATTTTTTTGTTTTGGATATGATTAAGCCTTAGGTTTGTGAATAACTAATACATTACAATAATCAAGATTTTTCAGGATGATGTTTTTCATTCATGTAAGCTTGAACTGATCTCCATAGAGCTGTGATGTTTCCAGAGCCAAAGCCAGTGGCACCAATGCGCTGGATGATTTCCAAGAAAAATGTGTCTCTATCAAAGAGTGGTTTGGTGAACTTTTGAAGCAAGTACCTGAAATAAAACCAAAAGTAAAGCAATGAACTGGGATACAACATAATTCTGCATCAGTCCTTAATACCATACTCTACTCTAAGGTATCAAATCCCCCCCCCCCCCTCATTTTCAGTATTTGGCCCACCCCCACTACTTATTCCATACCCCCTTTTATTAGTTTCCAGCTTGCCACGACCGACAATCATGTGAGACATTATGTCTAGAATCTAGATATCGGAATGAAACTTCTTTTTTGAACATGGTAAATTACCCTCAGTATTAGTACCAGTACCAGGTTGGCTACCTCAGTTTGCTGTGCATTTTTAAAACTTTTGTACATTGGTATTTTTTTTAATGAAACTGGTTTGTTCTTAAATGGGAAAAGTTGTCACAGTAACTTCCTAAAATCACTAAAATTTCATGATCTCTTGTTCTTTTATTCACTGAAGGAAAAATAAAACAGGTTTGTTCCTACTAGTACAGGGGTATGAGGTTGAATGTGCCCCCCCCCCCCCCTGTTTATTAATTTTGGACCACTTGTCCATCCCCCCTTTTATTCCTACCCCACCCCCCCTTTCTTCGATACCTTAGAGTAAATAAACATAATATGCCCATCCCCTGAGGATGAAAAAAAAAACCTACAGAATGTATCTTTCACACTGTTGACAGCAGAGATGTACGTAAAAGCAGAAGACGAAGAAACCTTGTATAGTACATGTCTAAGACCAAAGTCACGTGCTCCTACAACTCACCCTCCACGCCCTTAAAGCACACTTCAGCTGACAGTGCTCTCCGGAAGGTTAGGAAGGTGAAAATTATAACTAATCATAAGGATTCTCCTGCCACGTATCTTTGTCCAGACTTCATCACCTCCAAATGATTCAGTACCAAGGCTGTTCAAAAAGGAATCTTGGATCCCCTGTAACTCCTCGGATTCAATGTTATTTATGCTTCATCAATACCTGTCATTGAATGAGGCATCATTAAAAAAAAAATTCTTTCCAGTTCAGAGTGTGGAAAGTTCGAAAGAAAAGAATGAACAAAAAATGGGGAGGGGAAGGGGGTGCAGACAAGACTGAAATAGGCAAAAAGTAACTACTTAGTGAAAGTTTGGTCAGGAAGCAAATCTATGTTCAATAAATCAGAGATGTGAACTAGTAACCCCAACCGTCGTTCATTCGATCCTTAGGGCTCAAAATTCTCAACCCCACTTAATCAATATTTTTGCTTTACGCCTGTTGGCTATCATTTTTTTTTTCTCCAAAATTTATGCTTTTATGCCTCCATCAACACAATTCATGTCATTTAACCCTTCAAGAAGCAAATTAATTTGTGCTGTCCAGTCCCCCAGATGCGAATTAATTTGAGAACTTCATGAAAACTAGGGTGGGTCATGAAAAATGCGTATAGCTTCCTTATTTTTTAGGATAGAAATATGAACCAAACATCACTGAACTGGAGATTGAGTGAAGAAAAAAATGAGATAAAATTTTTCAAAACAATACCTTGTCACAGATTTAATTTGTTTGTCAGAGTGTCTTTGCCTGTGTGTTAGTCCTGACATTGTGATGTCAAATTTCTCCTAGTCCTAGTGTGAGTGATGCAGTTCAAAGCAGCCAGGGACACAGAGGGCTATATATACCTCACACTTTTTGCATTGAAATGTAGTCTGTTTACTCTTGAATCACTACTATCCCGATAAAACACGTTGAACAGGTTGCAAACATTAAACATTCATATTTGCAGCCATTTCAGATTCCATTACTGTGTTGGAGACTGATGTAAACAAATTCCTAGATTTTCTGTTTTCTTTTCCAATTCGAGGTCTAGATTCTTATTTGAGCCAGGAAATGCTAGTAAAATCTTCCTTGAAAAGAGTTTAACTTAGTTTGAACCCTTTCCAGTGGTTCCGTAAACAAATTCGGGTCACAAGAGTCCATGTTCACGATAGCGACTGCAGTCGCGATAACCTCTAAGGGACAGTCATGATGGGTTTAGGAGTCAGGCTTTGACTCTGTCTGTCATGGCCAACCTGGGCAAAAAAACTTAAATAATTGATAAGAATTCTCCCCACCAGGGAATAGGACCTTATTGCAAAGCCTTTTAGAGTTATACAACACATATGAGTATTCTCTTTCACAAATAAAAAAGCTAAATCAGACCAACTGATTCATGATGAAATAAGTATGTCCCCATTAGCTTGAAAAGGTTGAGACAGGTAGGCCTAACTATGAAACAAGTTTCACTATTCATATCTTACAGAAAGCATACTGAATGTCGCAACTTTTCGAAGGGCAGTTGGGGGACACTGATGGTTGGGTCTGCTTCTTTTCTAACATTTCTGTAACACTAAATGTGCATGTGGACAGACATCTCTCTACCGCCAAGAGACAAATGTGCAGTAACAGTCAAAGTTCTACGACTACAGTTGAAAAAAACTGCTGTGAGTTCTTAGAGAAATAGATTTAATAGGCAAACAACCTGCCTCACAGTATGAACAGTATTTGGTGTTGTTCTCACCTTGGACTTTTCGAGCATTCTCCTTCTTCCTCAGTATCAATGAGTATTCCAAGCTCTTTAAGTTCTTGCACGTCTTGTCCAACCCCTAAGATGTCATGGAGTCTTCCCACCTGAAAAATTTTTTCAAATTACTATTACAGACCTCAACGTTTTATACAATTTACAATTAGTCCCCTGGAGATCATACAGTCTGTCAGTTATTATACCAGTATGTTCCATAAAGCTATTGACAGCGAAGCGCCAAATTGTAGCCTAGAAAATATAGGAAAATAGGGAAAAACATCTCTCAAAACGATACAACTTCTTACCAGATGCAGCTGAGAACCAATCCCACAACCTTACTGTGAGAACTAGGATGCCAGAAAGCTGACTTATATAGATCATAATCTTAACTCTTGAACTGAAATCATGGAATTAAATAATAAATTCTTCATTTTCCAAATGGCAGACATCCAAACCCCCCAAAATACAGAGCATATATTATACAAAACAACTTTAGCTAAAAAGACATATGAACATAGGAACAGGTTATATGAGCAACAAATCTTTACTGGCTCCTTTTCCTTTTTCAAATACAGCCCTAGATCCGGTAAAAGCAATAATTTGGATACCTTTTTTCCCTTTACTTGGGTTTTCCAAAAAAAGACAACCATGTTACATAAGAAAATGTGTAACGACACTGTGGAATCAGGCTCTTGTCAATTTTTGGGCATGCAGAGTTATTGGTATCATCTTAAAGCTTGTTCATTTCTCTTGCTTTGGATTTTTAAAAACCAATTTATGTTGAATACAGGTCAAGATATTTGCGAATGAAGGTGGGGGTTACCTGGTTTCAGAGGTGAAATTAGTCAGAAAATGGCCGCCGAAAACTAGTTATTTCTTAGCTTGAGAGTCCGTGGAAACTGAAAATTTACATTTTTTGTGCCTTTAATCAAAATTTTCAGTAAAATTCCGCACAGAAATATGGGCATGAAAAGTGTTGAGCCAAAAAACTAAAATTCTAAAAAAATTTACAAACCTCCTGAAAAATGTCAATTTCTTCACTTTGATTATTTTGACGAGAGCCTGATTTCCCCACGCTGCCTCACAAATTACTATAGCCGAAAAAGCAAATGAAATGAACAGCAAATTGCTTCCGTTACCTTGCATTTCATAAAATATACTAGTTATTAGGGCTGGTTTCAGTGAGATGGCTATTTCATATTTTCACAGTCCTCTCTACAAAAGGAACTAATGATGACAATTTCACAGGAAAGTGAGTTGAACTGTAAAACTTACCACAATTAAAGTTACCCATTGTCCAACTTCATCAAAGTTACGATGAGTTTGGAGGTTTTTTAATGAAGAAAATTTATTTCTGTTATTTCTAAAATTTTTAATTGCAGTCAAAACTGTCTAAGACGGCCACCTATTAACGATGAGAAAAGTGGCCATTTTACACAGTGTCATTATAATGCAAAAAATACACAAAGGGTGAAATGGGCAGGGACCCTTTGTACAAGTGAGTGCAGGTGACGGGCTTATACAAATTATGGCCATTAGGGCAGGTTCGACTGTATTTACCTTCCAGTTATGTACCAATAGAGTTGAATTTGGACGAAAGAAAAGACAACAATCAATTTCACTAGCAGATGAGACGTACTATATGACTCTGCATGTGAAAAAAAAAAGTCAGGCCAAAAAAAATTACATGGAGTCAGTACAGTAGTGTCTTTAATCATATACCCACTTCTGAATAATAAGTTGCAGGTGGCTCAGCAAATTCAACGCCATGAAGCTTCAGTTTTTTAATGGTGCCGCTCATACTGGACGTGTGCAGACCAATGTGCTGTATTCCTGGACCACCGTGCTCCGACAGAAAAGTGTCAATTTGATTGGGCCCTGTAAATTAAAATAGCAAAATGAAACAGGAGAGCAGGCAGTACAGTGGAGTCCACTTATAACGAGTCCTGAAATAATGAGAAGTCTGTTATAAAGACACTATTCTAAAACCCCGGGTTTTGTTTCCTTCTTTATCTTTGTAAATAAACTACTGCTATAGTGCAATCAGACAAACACGAGAGTCGGTTATAGCGGAATATTGCTGCTTCTGTGCACAGTGCATGTATGTAAAACTTCGCCAGTTGAGAAACCTGTTGGTGATCTAGCAAAACAAAGAAAGGGAGAGCCGGCGTGTGCCAACAGTGAAGGCCAGGGAAAATGAGTGGGGAGTGTGTGGCATGCGCAGACAAGCAGAACACATAGAGTGATAGGCCAGCCCATTCTCCTAGGCCTACCATGCCTCTCATTTCTCCAATGATGGATGGAGCGAATGTGTGGCGTGGGCAGGGTGTGGTGTGTACCCAATGTGCGCAAGCAGACGGAACACACCATAGTGTGTGGGGGGGGGGGGGACAACACAGCGGGCAAGATAGCCTAGAGCCAAGGAGCTTAAAACAAACTGTAATCTCTTTGCCTAGAGCCCTTTCTTTCTAATCGCCACCACCGAGCTGTCAACACCGCTGGCGCTAGAGAAAGAAACCTGGTTCAATGTTTGATACAGTATATAAGACCTAGAGGTCATGTTGAACAAAATCATCATCAGGGGAGATAACAAAAAGAAATAACATGACACCAAACTCAGAGATTAGGTCTACTTTATTATGTCCCTAGATTTTAGTACTGGATCCCTTATAACGAGAATCCTGCTATAACGGACATTTCGCATCAGTCCCCTACCTCTTGTTATAACAGGATTCCACTGTACTTTGCAACTCCCCTACATCTGTTCATTCATGAAAAAAAACAAACTCTTCATTACAAACATTTTGCTGATCCAACTATAATATGGTGAGAGAGATGAGGCTCCTTTTCATGATATGAGAAAAATATTTTTTTGCGACAAGAAAAAACACAAAACCCAAAGTAAAAAAACCCAAAACATTATTCAGTTCCTGCAATACTGTAACTCTATTACAACCTCCTTTTTTTTCAAGGGAGTACATGTAGTTCCGTGCAAATATTATGGCACATTTGAACAAACAGTTTCACATGAAATGACTATGGGGTGAAAAATATATATATGGTACCAACTCATATAAAGAATTTAATTACAAGGTGGGATGGGGTGGGATCTATGAACAACAACCATCTCTGACACATTGACAGTGATGGGGCTGGGTGGACAGACAGTGATGCAGTGATACCCCTTACTTTTTCCATCTCATTCAAAATAAATATCTAACTTACCTTGATTAGGTAAAGCTTCAGCAATAACAACTTTGAAGCTTTGCACAGCACAATTAGGGTTTGATTGTAAGCCCAATTCAGCACACTTCCAGTACTCCAAAGCTTTCATTCGAAGTCCTATGTCCTTTCCACTGATGACAAATCCCTCAGATTCACTTTCCTCTCTATGTAAATGAAGACAGTTAAGATAAAAAATCTGAGCACAACAGCACTAAAAAGAAAATGAATCATATGGTCAAGAACCTGGGTTATCCTGTAGCCAATGAGCTGACAGTTCGAAAATTTAGTTTTTTAACAAATTTCATTCACTCTGCATCCTGGCCACGGAGCCTCCTTCAACTGTTACAAGCACCTTTCGACAGAGATGAATTTTTTTAAATTTTAGAACCGGAACCTTCCTTTACTTTACCTACCATGGCAATATTGCATGATATTTTCAGCATGGGTGCCACACAATACATTCAGTGTGAGTACCACACAATACATTCAGTGTGAGTACCACACAATACATTTCAGTGTGAGTACCACACAATAAATTTCAGAGTGAGTACCACAAAGTACTTTCAGTGTGAGTACCACAAAATACATTTCAGTGTGAGTACCACAATACTTTCAGCGTGAGTACCACACTACCACACAATACTTTCAGTGTGAGTACCACACAATACAGTGGAACTCAGATTTAATGAGTTCGGATTCAACGAGAACTCGGATTCAACGAGATGAGATAGATTCCCCGTTTTTTTCCTTCTTTAAAATCAATAAAAATAACCCGGATTCAACGGGCACTTAAATCAGCAAGCTCGGATTCAACGAGGTCGCTTCCAGGGTGAACAGCCCCCGCAGACGTGGCTTCGCTCAATTTTCTTCCATAACTAACTTTATCTATTACTGGCAACGATCCATTGCACCTGCATCGTGAACCATTATTCACTTAGCCGATTACATGCGACCAATCAGCAGCCTTTTCCCATACCTACACATGCGTTGTTGGCACGCGCACGTGTCTACTCTAGCGTGTGTCGGGTCGGATGGGCGGCCTGCACACGGGTGGCTGTGTGTGCATGTAGGGAAGGGGGCGCACTAGCTGTCCGGGCGTTGAACGTCACAGATTCAAACGCGCCACGAGTCACAGTCGTTTTTCCCCCCTCTGCAACTGATCATTATTACAATGATCATGCTAGTCTTGACGTAGATCTACGTAATGAATTGTGCGCCGGTCTATGGAATAACAAAGTTGCCGTATGCTAGGGTCTACACAGCAACACAACTTTTTGGTAAACTATCGAGATGACACAGGGGTGTGAATTTGAATGAATCGGTTTGTTTTTTTACACAGCTCATAATATGCAGGCATTTCAGGCACTAACTTGTGACTTCTCTTTATACATAACTTGCTCAGTGCTTGTAATTATCTACACAATACCGTGTGTTTGCTATGACGAACACTCGGACTCAATGAGATTTTAGGTCAGGCCCGGCGACCTCGTTGAATCCGAGTTCCACTGTACTTTCAGTGTGAGTACCACAAAATACATTTCAGTGTAAGTACCACACAATACATTCAGTGTGAGTACCACAAAATACTTTCAGTGTGAGTACCACAAAATACATTTCAGTGTGAGTACCACACAATACATTCAGTGTGAGTACCACAAAATACTTTCAGTGTGAGTACCACAAAATACTTTCAGTGTGAGTACCACAATACTTTCAGTGTGAGTACCACAAAGTACTTTCAGTGTGAGTACCACAAAATACTTTTAGTGTGAGTACCACACAATACTTTCAGTGTGAGTACCATAAAATACTTTCAGTGTGAGTACCACACAATATATTCAGTGTGAGTACCACACAATATATTCAGTGTGAGTACCACAAAATACTTTCAGTGTGAGTACCACACAATACTTTCAGTGTGAGTACCACAAAATACTTTCAGTGTGAGTACCACACAATGCAGCACTCGTAGTATGGGTACTTTGAGTTCTAGGATTTGACATGACAATATTAGATGAGTACAACTGTTTCTTTGTTTTCTAAAAAAAACGCTAAAGAACACTCGGATGATTTGTGGAGTCACTGAAGCCATAGAGATAGACTTTTTTAACATAGTAACATAATAAATAAAAGAGCAATCTCAATTGGTTGGTAACTTGAGTCATGAGAATGACAAAACGTAAGTGTATGAGTTTAACGTGATATCAACGCTAGGTTATGAGGCTGGACCTCTGAATTTAGCATCCGTCTCCAATACTGCCAAGCCAAAAGGGTTGAGAGCCTTGAAAACTCCACAAAACAACCCAAGTTCAAGAAAGCCCATTCTGAGATTCCAACCAGGGCCATCTGCTCCATTATCCAGCAAAATACCAACTGAACTAATTGAGCACCTGAATAAGAATGACAAGATGGGAACGACGATCAACTCGTGCATGCAGGAAAGGAAATGTGAGCAGTCACAGTGCTGGCCTTCTTTAGGGAGAAGCTCCCATTTTGTTGATCAGGATGAACATTATATTGGCATTACAGCTTTGGGAAAAAATCTGTGTATCGACACATAAAATGATATAGTAGTAATATTTAACTATTTTTAATAACGTTCACTTTTACACTAGACTCAAAAATATTTTACTAATTGAAATGGATATTATAATATATATAACTACACACACATAGTCTTCAGTCTTTGCAAGGTAAGGGAGTAAAGAAACAAAGTTCTCCATTCACTGCTGGACTGATAATGGTGAAAGTAACATAAAAATATTGTTTTTAAATGAACAACAATCCAACATATTCAAAGAACTAGCTTCTACAGTGAAGTCCATTTAAACCACTCACGAAAATCCGAAAACAGCGGTAGACTGTTGTGAAAGAAAATAAAATCCCTGCTTTTTTTTTCTTCTTGTCTTTGTAAAAAAAAGTTAAATTATATTATTATATTGATTGGCTGAAATGCCCCCATTTCTAAAACAAAAAGAATTTTGAGGATTGATGTCTAATATCAAATGCAAATCATCAGGTCTGCATTTCCAATACAGAGAAACAATAGAAAGAGAAAAGAATGTTCATTTGTCAATTGTGGGCCAGAGAGGAGAAGCACTGTCCGTGTACTGTTGGCACACAAATCAACCAAGCCTACTCACTCTACTAATGAAGCAAGGACAGAAATGTACGTCCCTTGTGGGACCTTCGCTTGGTCATAGCATTTATAGTCTCTCTGCGAAGTTACTTCACAAAGGTCTTACAAATGAGCACGTGGCCACTGCATGTGATAGAAGTGATATTTCATGACAGTACTGGCATTGGGCTTCACTTCTCTAGACAAGCATGGAGCACAGAACAGTATGCAGTGCAGTGTGTACTACTCTTTCATCTGTTCTGTGTCAACTGTGTGACTGTTCAGCAGTAATAAAAGCAAGCTCGCATTGTCGAAGTCGAAGAGAAAGCATTGCGTGTATGGATCATGTATAATCTGCACCTCAAATTGCAGTAACTAAAAGCTGAAGTAGATGACAAAAACAAATTTTAAAAAGTGAAATTTGCCGAAGCATGACATTCCCAACTCTTGGCTGTCGACAGTCACTGCTGTAAGAGCAACCCTCTCTAAACCAAAATTAATCCATTGGTCCTACAGATATCCGTTTGAGTGACCTCCACTGTCTTTTCTCCATCATATATATGACATGAATGTTAGTTTGACTGAGAGAATCTCTGGGAAGGGAATGTAAACTTATACAGCTCATAATCGTTTAATTAACTTATTAAGTTATTTATTTGATCTCCCCGATTCAACTGCTAAATATAGTTACAGGCTAAGTTCCCCCCCCTCCCCAACAACAAGCTGGTTCATAAAGAATCTTGAACTTGGAGTAAACATTAGGATTTTTTTTTTTTTAAAGGACCAAGCCAAAATGCAGTGCTATTTTGAGATACATTGGAACTTGGATTCAACTAAGTTGGACTTTGGAACGCCCCTTTTTTTTAATTCATAAAAATATTTAAAAATAGCTCGGATTCAACAAACATAAATGTGCATGCTCGGATTCAACGACATTGCTTACAGGATGAACAGCCCCCGCTGACCTGACTTCCCTCATTTTTCTCCCACAACGAACCTTACCTCTCTATTCCTGGAAATCATCCATGGCATCTGCATCATGAACATTAACTTAGAGCCTATTGTTTCTGTTTTGCTACCACAATCAGCGCCCGTCTAAGTTTTAAATGTTAGCACACACTCAGGTCTTAGTGTGCGTTTTGGTCAAAGGGGTGGCCAGCACGCCTAATATGACTTTGTGTGCGTGTGTGTGTGTGTGTGTGTGTGTGTGTGTCTGTCTGTGGGGAGGGGGCACAGCGACAGGGGCTTCAACCGTCAGTAAAGATACTTGTACGTGTCAGTTACAATGATCTAGTCTTGACAAAGATCTGCGTGTAATGAATTACGCGCTATACTGTAAAGTCAAATGTTGCTGTATGCTAGGCTCTACACAGCAACATTATAACTTGTTTTTGTTTTTGTAAGTGTTTTTACGGCGCTCGCAACTGCATAATATAAGGTCATATAAGCGCGCGGGACACATTAAACTTTTTCAGTAGGTAGGAAATTTTGAATTTTGCCCGGGTCGCGGCCGAAGCCTACTCTTATCGATTTTAGACCACCAAGGGATCTTTAATGTGCGCAACTTGCACACAGGCCCTCCGAGATTTTTCGCCCTTGTCCGAGAAGGCTAGGTGTAGATCTTTCCTACCAGAAGATCAGGGGTGTGGCTGAAAGACAGCAGTAAGAAGAAGCCAAGGAGTAGCAGTAGAAAGGCTGAGAAAGAATCAGGGGCCCAGAGGAAGAGGGCAAAGGAATTGACGGAGTGGGGGCAGAAAGAGGAGACGAAAGCAGACGACAGAACACTGCAGCTTGCTAGGGAGAAGGAAAGGAGGTGAAAGGAGACAAATTTAGAGAACAATTTTTTTCGGTCACTACCCGGATTCGAACCCGGGACCTTTTGAATGAGAGGCCAACACTTTAACCTCTAGGCCACGAGAGCCCCCCAACATTTATAACTTGTTCGGCAAACAGTACGTTACAGATGACAGATGACACGGGTGTGCATTTAACCGAATTGGCCCATTTGCACAGTGTGTGTTTGGGAGTTCGGTGTATTTTCAGGCTCGGATTCAATCAAATTCATTGAATTCAAGATCAGGCCCAACAACTTCGTTGAATCCGAGTTCCACTAGTATTCATTTTTATTTTGGAAGTGGTTTATTCTCACCCCCTCATTTTACCGGAAATGACCCTAGAGGGATCAGAGCTGAGGTTACCATGGCTGAGGCTCCACAGGATCGTGTTCGTGTCCGAATAGTCGCAGTACAGAACAGCTAGGGTTTTCAATTTGGAGCCAAGTCCCAGAAATTTGTCTCTTTTAGATCAAGTTGGGCCCGGAGAATTTCATATGGCCCTCTGGCTCTGTCTTTTTAGGCCCCAAACTCCAGATGTTCAAGATGAAGGGGAAAGAAGCAGCAAGAAAAAAAAAGAAAAAGAAAGAATAATTTAAGAAAAGGAAAGAATAATTTAAGGAAAAAAACCTATTTTTAGTGAAGAAAAGAGCTTGGATTGCTTTTAATTATTTTTAACTAGTTAACACAATTTAAAGCCCTCGCCCATATGGTCAGAATAATTTGCAACCCTTTTACCCTTGTGTAAGAGCATTTGTCTCGTTACGTTCGTACACACTCTCTGTTCCTTGAACGATTATAATATTGTGGGCAGGCAGAGAATCAAATATACAGTGGGTGTCGCATATTCAACAAGGTTGCCGGGACCGGCTTGTTGTCCTCGTTGGATCCCACCTCTCGTTGAACGTGACTAAGGCTAAAGAAAGCCTGAGACAAGTTATTACACAATATACCAGTCTGGTACCAGTAATTAAAACAGTTGTTCCCCCTGATGACGAAAATCTCAAACAGCATCAGTGTGCGCGTGTTTGAGCTATGTTCTGACCGCCACTTCATTTTAAACTTTTTTTTTTCCGGAACACTTCTCGTGTGTGGAAACATACACCTTCTCCTCGCATAGAGGCCTAGAATAGTTCATGAAGTAAAGGAAGGAGCTTGAATTTTTTTATTAAGTACTGGAAGAAAAGAAAATTGAAAAGAATGAAGGTCTCGATCTAGACCTATCCATCCAGTTTCACACAGCCCGCATCGCGTTCCCACTCACCCACCCCCTCCCATCTCTACCGTAGGCTAACCCTCGCCCATCCTCTTGGCTTTGGGGCCCATACTAGATCTAGCAATACAATGTTACAATGTGTTAGGAATCGATGATGGACCTTGTGCTTCACATGATGGAGAGAAAGGAGACAATTCTTCACTTTTCGGGCCACTAACTGCTTCATTAATTTATTTGGTTATTTGCGACCTCTATGAAAGAGACTTCGGTCTGTTTGCAACCTCGTTGGAGCTGACGTACATTTACAACAGAGGAAAAATCGGGGATTAAGGATTGCCTCGTTGGAGCCGACTTCTCGTTGAATGTGACCTTGTTGAATGCGACACCCACTGTATAGATCTAGGTGGCCTTTTAATTTTATATCTTTACCTGTTTATGAAGAATCGCTTCATGTAGAAGTGTTTTTCATACCAGTCAATTATACTTCTAGAAGACCCAACTTCACAGGCAAAGGTAAAGTGATCTATGTGGGATATATTGTCATCATCATTTTCTAAAGAACACGAAGCCAATGAATGAGTGTCACGAAAGGCAACAAATCCTGGAAGAAATAGTCCGTGGTAGTTTTGGGAATCAATGATTGTATGAAACACATTTCCAACAACAGACTTAATTATGAAAAGATGTACTTGGCCACTCTCATCACTCACAGTATTTAGTTCCTTCACTATTTCTACACCATCTTGGGACAGTTTCTGAGCAAAACATTGGATACCTTTTACCTCCAGAGCTATATTGAAAACAGAATCTCGCAGAGACAGAAGGCCCTCTTGAGGCTGAGGGAGATTAGCGCTAATATTCATGTCATCACCAGCTCTTCCACTTTGAGTTCCAGACCATCTTGGTCTAGATCTAGATCCACACCAAAGTACTGAATAAGGATCGTTTTCAACTTGATCAGGACAACTAACTTCAGTAAAGACAAATCGTATGTTTAGGCTTGTTCGGGAACAAACAAGCCACTGAGTAACCCCTAAGCCACACCGCTTGGCAACAATGTGAAAAGGAAACTTTGTAATAAAATTCTCAACTGTGGCGAACCCTCCTGAAATGCCGATCTCGACATAGTGAATACTGTTGTTATCCATGATTGTTTCCAATTCCTTGAAGTTGAAGAATAAAAGTTTCAGAATTAGAATCAAACCTCAGCCTCTGCGTCAACGTTTAGACTTTAGATTCTAATAGATTCTAGATTCTAGTAATAGATCTAGATCTAGATCTAGAATCTAGACACACAAAATAGCCTAGAAGTTAGCGCCCAAGTACTTGATCTTGAAGTTGAAGTAGAAGTTATTGTAGAAGTCTTCCATTGAAATCCAAAGCCCTTTGAAATCGAGATATCAAGCATAGGCCTACAATGTTCCTGTCTGTAGATCTAGATCTAATTAAGGGAAGTGTTCTTCTGTTGGATACATTTTTTTAAAAGATTAAAATGATGACAGAAGGTCGTTGTGATCAAGGCATGAGCCATAGAACTACTGTTGCTGTGTCAACTCGTCGAAAGGTCGCGGCATGATTTCGTAAGAAATGATGTGCGTGATCTCCCTTCTTTTATCAAAAATAAAAATGTTGAAGGCCTAGCCTACACTCTACACTTCTTTGGTTTGCCTTGCTTTTACGCGCAAAAAGAAACATGACAATTAAAGGCGCTTTACATTTCGCTTGCTGTCTTTCAAACATAGAAACCATCATCGTTAACTTCTGTCAATGGAAAAATCAAGGGGATCTAGAATCTAGCTAGTTTGAAGATTCTAGTATCATTCTAGGCCTTTCGTTCTACTTCTACTAGATCTAGATAGATCTACTTAGATTTTACTTCCTGTAGGCCTAATAAAGGCTAATATAATTTCTACAATAAAAGTATAAAGGCACCCACGTTTCGCCAATTCGTTCAAGATAATAAGTAGGCTAGTGGTAGCCTTGTGGTAACTATAGCCTACATGAATTATAATAATTGCTGTCACAAGCAGCTTGTAAATGTTGAAAACTACTCCATATATTGTTTCGTCTCAACAGTAGACACAGTCGGTGCCGCTCGTGTTTTTTTAATTAGCTCATGACAAAGATCTCGGTACTCGGTCAAAGGCTAGCCTAATAATAATATTATAATGTGGCCTTTGACCTCCCCATCGGTTGGCGGAAATTTTAGTCACGTGGAGAAAAAATATCTATTTAAGTAAACGAGCTATCTAACGGCTAACGCGCCATTTTGACTGTAAACACATCTCGAACGTTGGCTACCGCTATGACATGTTGCAGGTCAGTACTTTTTCTTTTCTTTTTCCACAGAGCATGTGTCTTTAAGATTCTAGATTCACTGTTTTTGTGCCTTTGCCAGTGTTAAGGTTCACATTACTAGATTCTAGATCTAAATCTAGATATAGATCTATAAAATTAAAATAACATGTCATGTTCTGCCCACTGCCACAAAGCCAAGCAGACGGCGCTGCTACCAGAGATATTCTAGATTCTAGATCTACATGATCTAAAAATTCTAATCCAGGATCCTTGACTTTGGCAAGGCAATTATCATTATAGTCGGGAAGAAAGCAATTTCAGTTAGGGTATCAGTAGAGTTAGGCCTTCTCATTTTGGCGCTTTTTCGGTAGATCTAGATCTATAATCTAGATTATCTAGATCTAGATATCTAGTTCCCACCCTGCTTATTTGGGCAAAAATTAAGGCTGCTCTTTGGCCCACATGGGCAAATAAGCTGAGGCTTATTGGCCCACATGGGCCATTTATATTTTAAAGGGTTGTTTTTCAAAGTATTTCATACACATGGTATTGTCCCAACTTGTTCTCTATCTTCTTAGCTATTGTTCATTTATTTATTTTTAGCATTAGATTGGAAAACTATACATTCTCAATTTAAAATATGGAGTGTCTACGTACATGGTAACTGGGCACGTAGCCTCAGGGTCTACGTACACGGTGACCGGGCACGTAGTCTGAGGGTCTACGTACACGGTAAGGCCCCGCGTCCTCTGCGCTTTTTCGTCACTTGCAGGCCAAGCTCACATGCAAATGAGCTTGTTTTTGTCAGTCATTGACTGCCAGAGCTGGTAGTAACGGAGTACAAGTACTGGAGTACTTGTACTTACGTTACAATTTTCGGTACTTTTACTGTACTCCGATACTTTTTATAAAAGTACTTTTCAGTACTTTTTAAGTACATTTTGAGTACTTTGGTAGCTTAATGAAAGGGTAAGTTCAGGCATTTCTGATCATAATTTACGCAGCAAAAACCCGATCAACCGCCAAGAGTTAAAAGTTGAGATCAAAGAACGGCCCGTCGCCTCAAAGATCAGCCACTATCGTGAATGTGATCACAAGCGTTGTTAAACTCCTTGAAACGGTACAATGTTTGCTCCAGACGGGATCACACCAAGGTGTGAACTGACCGATGCGTTTCTTTTCCCAAACATCGCACTCGCATCTGAGCTCACCACCTAAACTTACATCACTCCCTGGGTGGGTAGGGCCTACAAGTTCGCTCCAGGCGGGATCACATCAAACTGTGAACTCTTCCCTGACCATTGAAAGCAGTTTTTCCCGAATTTGCGAGACAACCTGAATTTTAATTAGTGTGGTCACATCATAATGTAGCGTAATGACAAAGGAGGTTGGGGGGGGGGGGGGACTCAATCAGAGATGGAAAGCTAAAATTGTTGGACAGGTAAAGGGGAGGGGCAACTGGATAAACGTAGATAAAGATCTCAAGACTCACGATAGGCTAATGAGTGTGTATATATAATATTATTTATGGCATGCCTCATGCCACTGTGATTGGTAATCAAGGTTGACCACTCTTTGCTTGCCATATGTCATAAATCCACCCAGGGGTCACGTCAGCCAGGGGTCACTGTAGATTCTTCCTTGGCTTCGTTGGCTAAGATCTTATATTTTCCTTGCTTCCGAACACTGGGATCTTAGGCGGAGACTACTGCAGTAGAGAATCTTTGGTTACACTACACTTACTAGACTCTAGGAAACTATTGTATTTTGGTTTGCCGTTGGCGCCGTAGACTACACAGTGTGACCAAAATCTGTCAGACCACTACAATCAATTGAAACTGAAACTGTGTTCTCAATGTGTATCTAACAATTTTTAGGCTGCCTAAATTTCTTTTAAACTTTTTTTGGGGTGGTTTTTGCTTAAGACTACATTGATTCCTAGAGGATTTGTTAATGAAGAATTCAATGCACTTTTCCATTTCTATGCGGGCCATTTTCATCAATTTTATGTTTTCTTAAGAGCAACTTTGTATCTACATTTTTCAATTTGGATACTCTTTCTGTAGAACTTTCCGACCTCTAGGACTGACTTACATTTGATCACATTGTCTTGCTCAAACAAGTTCTATTCATAATATCACTTACCCACTAGTTGCGTCTGTTTGTTTGGGTTGTTTTTTGTTCAACTTCACGGACCATTTCCACCGTTCAGTGCGTACATTGTATATTCAAATGCTTTGTATACTGTATACATTTTTAGTAATAAATAGCCTAATTTGTCAAATATACTAGATCTAGATAAGTTATAAAATATGATGTTTTGCATAAGCGCTGAAGTGTTTTAGCATATTAGCAGAAAGTACTCAAAATGTACTCATAAGTACTTTTTAAAAAGTACTTGTACTCAAGTACATTTTATAGGAAAGTACTTTTACTGTACTTAAGTACATTTTTTAGATTGTACTTAAATTTGTACTTAAGTACTTTTTAAAAAGTACTTTAACAGCTCTGTTGACTGCCTTTGCCTGACTACGCGATTTTCCTGCATGCACGCTTTTTGGTCAGTCGTACAGGGGACTAAGAAAGCCTCGATTCGACTCATTTTGGAAGGAAATTTGCATCTTTTAGTACATTTTTACTTCTTCATTGTACTTTAAATGATCAATAAAGTTGTATCTCATTATAATATGTTGTACAATAGCAAATGTGTGCTGAAAAACAGCAAAAAAATGAAATTAAAGCACTTGACCTAGATCTAGATCTAGATTATTTCGTTCTCGTGGGAGCTAAAAATAGGCCAGGTTAGACCTAGCTAGGGACGTGTCTAGATCTAGATCTACGTTCTCTAATGTTTAGTGCTTCTAATTTTCCGCCAAATTTTAGTTTTCTTCAGACTTTATCTGCCGGTCCACTAGATCTAGGCCTAGATTCTAGATCTACATCTCAATATGTCATGTCGCTTTGCCTTTCCTGAAAGTGATGATATGAAGCTTAATTTAGGCCTACCCTTCGCTGATGAAAGTTCCGATGGCGGAGTGAACAGTGTGTCTGCGTTTGAAGGCAAACATTATTTTTGTGAGCGTCGGTTCGAATCCCAGTCCCACCTTTTTTTTTTCTTCTTCTCATCGTCCCAACTTACCAACAATTTTTCCCATAATAATAATTTTTTGCTTTTTAGTTTTTTAAAGTGGTAAATAAATAAATAAATCGCCTGTGCTGTCTGTTGTTCTCGTAATCATAACTCACTAGGCTAAAAATAATAATATGTTTAGCTGGTCTGACGCCGGTGGACGCGGATCTTTTTGAGTCGTTTCTACACCACGCAAAAACTTCGTACATTAGCTTGGCCTGGAGGTGATCTTATTTTGGTGGACGCGTAGGCTAACCGGAAGGTCCCAGAGAGAGTTCACTCAGCCAAAAATAGTGTCACTTTTATTGTTTTTCACAAGTAGAGTAGGCCTAACTCTGTTCACAAAGTTCGCGCTTTTTCGAAGAGGGCGCACTAGGGTCAACCGCTCAATAGTCCAGCATGATACCCACTAGCCTAAATTTCATAACAGAGCGTCCAGTGAGCCTTTACTTTCGCTTTCGTTACCACCCAGAAATTTGTAGGTAAATGTCTGGTAACGCAATAATTATTGTAACATGCAGGTTCGGCATTACAAACGTGGTGTTGCCATGAAAATAAATCAATATTTGTCACTGTGTCGTCACTTATGGGGGCAACATAAAGAAAAGAAAGTTATACATACAAGCGTCTTGTCGGGTTTGCCATTGTGATCGGTCAATGAACCTGCGCGTATTATGAGCGCTTCGAAGTAGGCCTACAGGACTCACGAATGGGGGAGATTATTGATTTTTTTATAAGACGCACTCGGGGATAGGGGGAGGCTGCGCAACACCAGAGGACAAAAAAACGAAACTGGAAGCAAATATTATGTTTAATGTTTAGAATTTTGATTACTACTACAGCTCTCTGCTAAGTAAAGTGTGCGTTGGTGCAGGCCTTTTGTGTGAAAACGGCCTAAGTGTTCGCGTTTCATTGGATTGGTGACTGTAAATTAGATCTATATATTTTAGCTTTCTGTACAAGATTCGCAGATTTTCAGTATTATCTCCCTCTCCCTCTCCCCCCCCCCTCTCTCTCTTTCTCTCTCTCTCTCTCTCTCTCTCTCTCTCTCTCTCTCTCTCTCTCTCTCTCTCTCTCTCTCTCTCTCTCTCTCCCTCTATCTCTGTTTATGTATTTTTGTGTGTGATTGTAAGTGTGGTGTGTGTAAAGATAGTATTGGTGGGTGCTCTGGTGTGGTCTGCTCCTTCTCTCCTATTCAAAAAAAATATTTCTTTCTTGTTTTTGTGTTTGTTACTCTCTTGTAACACTAACACCTCTAATCTTCGGCACTTATATGAACTTATTGTGTTGCAAGTGCTAACTCTTACGAAAACAAAAGATAGTTTTAGGTATGAACAGGGCGCTTTGGCAGCAAGCGTAAGTGAATGCGTGGTACCGAAGCTCGATCTACTTTCGCTTTCGTTACCACCCAGAAATTTGCCGGTAGCAGTCTGATTAACGCAACATTTGTAACATACAGGTTGTGCATACAGACGCTGTGTCGCCATGAAAATAAATCATTGTCCTTTGCTTTCACTTGCGGAAAAAAAAGAAAGCTATAGGCGTCTTGTCGGGCTCGACATCGTGACCGGTCAGTGAGCCTGTA